GTGTTGTACAATTGGAGAAGGAACGTGATTTGTTGTAGATGTTGAAGCAGCTCTGATCATCTCTATATCCCCACTTTCTGCTATTCTTGTTCTTTCCTGTGTTGGTGAATTGAGTTGATGCATCGCAAGCATTAACTCCCTCATTTGCTCTTGCATTTGTGCCATTGCACTCTTCATTTCAACAAGCTCTGCCATAATGACACTAAGAAGAAAATTTATTTTGATACTGCTCAAGACAAAAGAAAAGAAAGACTTGATAACAAAGAAGATACTAAGAACAATATCAGTTTAGAAGTGGGTAATCCGCAAACTTCTAATACGCTTATGTCTTGTCAAGAGAAAGGGGTAATCCACTCTTACTCAAGAAAAAACAAAGCTCTGATATTGTAAGTGCACTCTTGTCAATCTGTCAAGGACAAAGACTCGATGAGGGAAAATATACACCAAAAGGCTACCTCGATATAATAAGTCAAAATATAAACAAGTAGGTATATTAAAAGAAAACTGGAATGGCTATTGCCACAAGACAAGAAACTAAAGACTCTTGAACCTGGACTAGAAGCAAGAAAGGAGTTGACAAGAGTGAAGAAGCCTTCACTCTTGTCTCTATATATACTATCTAACTAGGGGCTACGTGGTAATGTTCTATATGACCTCCAATATGTGTTGACTTTGTAGGACACATGCCTTGACTTACAAGGCAAGTTTTTCTACGTGTGGGCCACATAGTTAGCTTGATCTTCAAGCTAACAACATGTGTGGCACATGGCCAACTTGTTGACCACGTTTCTAATCCAAAAAGTCAATTAAAGATACCTATGAAGTTAAAGCAGCGTCTAGGAAGTTTCTAGGAAGCTTTTATATTAAATATTATAGAATTAACTTACTTTTATCTACTTTTACTTACTTCTACCTATTTCTATATGTAATTATTAGCTTACATGATTATGGCCGTGACATCTAGTCCATGAGTTTTTTTAGTTGTTGTTGTTATAACTTGAGGTATTGTAGACAATGGCACTGCAATATGAGCAGGTGCATTCTAAGCCTCATTAATAGGAATTCTTATAATTCTAGGTGGATTATTGAAGCCATCAAGCATTTCATCTACGATCCGTTTTAGACACAAAATCATAGCAACTTCAATTTCTACCAAAGATGTCCTAGGATCGGGATTCATTGTAAATATTTGTGGTACTTCAAACATGAATACTTTATTTCTTTGTTGATTGGATACTCCTTCTTGAAGAGATGGAAATATATTTTTTTCAAAATGGTAATTTTGCAAGCGTGCACGTAATAATGTGTCAGTTGATGAATCAATAATATGAATAATGCTTGGTGAATAGAAACGAACATATATGCCTTCTTATCGATGAGCTCAAATGGTATACTATTGAGGTTTTGGTACTGGAATCCAAGCACAGCAACCAAATACTCGTAAGTGAGATACATTTGGAACACGACACAAAATGAGCTCATATAATGAAACAATTTGAAGAGAAGAAGGGCGGAGATATATTAATACTACAGCATGTATAACTGCATGATCTCACATAGATGTAGGTAAATTTGTGTGAAGGAAGAGTGATCGAATAATGAGTTGTATACGCTTTATAAATGACTCTGCAAGTCCATTTTGAGCATATTCATATGGAACACAATATGTCAACTCAATTTCTGTTGCAGTACAATAGTCTTCAAAAAACTTTGTTACAAATTCTTTTGCATTATCCATACGCAATGTTTTTATAGGATAATCAAGAAAATGTGCCCGAAAGCGAATAAGCATAGATTTAAGATTGACAAATACTATGTTTCGAGTTGATAATAATGAAACATGTGATTATTTACCTAATGCATCAACAAGGACCAAAAAATAATGAAATAGTTCCGATATTGGATTAATAGGACCACAAATATCACCATGCAATCTTTCAAGCATTGGTAGTAATTCTTATGGGAGTTTCTAAATTGAAGGCCAAGTAATCATTTTATCTTGCAAGCATGTATGACATAATTCTATAGAGTCTACATCCATAGGCTTTAAATTCTGCCTAGTTATACATGGAATGATCTTTCTAAATAATGTAGATCTTGGATGTCCCAATCGTCCATGCCAGAGAGAAATACGATTCTCTGTGATAGATGATGCAAAATTAAATATAATGGGAGGCCAAATCACAATTCGGTATAAACCATTTTTTGTAGCAAAAGCTTTTTTAACAACTTTATGGTTCTTCGTAAGAACCAAAACCTCTTTTTTTTATTTAAAATGACGATCGAGAGGTGATAACCATTAATACGCACATCTCGGTAGTTGTTGAAACTTCGAGGTGTTGAGGGTGCAAACATCCCATGTTTACTTTTTATGATGGAACCTGCAGGTAATTTTACCATCATTGTGCCTTCTTGGAAACAAAACGCATTTGCTCTAGCCATGGTCATCATATTTTTAGTTTGCCAAGTTGAAGATTTTTCAATAAAAAATTATCTATCTCGCAAGATAGTATGTGTTGTTGCAAAATCAATGAGTGCATCATTTGATTCATCATTAGAAGTTTTGTCATTCATATAAGCTTCTAAGTCATCAACACTAATTGAATCTATCGACGCATCCATGGTATAAACTTCACGAGCCTCAGCTCGTAGTTTCTTATTTTCTTGGAACATTTTAATAAAATATTTTGAAATACGGCACGCATGTGCTAAATGACCAATCATTCCGCACTTATGGCAAGAACGCATCTCTGATTTTTATTTTCTACTATAATTAATAGTAGAACGTTTATTCTTTTCATATGGATAGAAATGGTCATGACTATGACTACCTTGATACTTATGAGCATGTTTTCCATGTTTATATAATTTTTTCTTAGACTTTGAAATATTAAGTGTATGAAATTTTGGAACTATAGTTCCAATAGGACGAGCTTCTTCATTGCACAAGAGTAGCTCATTTTGCTTCTCTGTAAGAAGTAGATAGGACATGAGATCAGAATGACTATGAAATTTCATGTTCTTGTATTTTTGTGCAAGGACAAACGATATAGGAGGAAATGTAGAGAGAGTTTTCTCAATCATTTCTTCTTCAAAGATGCTTTGTCCACATAACCATAATTGTGAAACAATACTATACATTTCACTATTGAAAGCATTTAAATTTGGAAAATCCAAGATACTTAAATGTGTCTAATTATGATGAGCGCGTGGAAGGAAAATGGTCTTTTGATGATCAAACTTGGATTTAAGATTCTTCCAAAGTTCTGCAGGATCTTCTATTTCCAAATATTGATATTGTAATGCAAGTACAAGATGACGACAAAGGAGAAGAAGTGCTTTCCAACGAATAGCAAAAAGAATAGAAATAATTATTGTAGGAGATTTTTCAAATATAATGGCATCTGAGAGTTGTTTTGCAAATAAATTTGCTTTTGCCATTTTTACTCATAATAGATATTTTTTTCCATCCACAGTCAATGGTGGAAATAAAAGAGCTTGAAAATGTTGGGATGCACTGGTAACAGTTGGAATCATCGTAGAAACAGTTGAAGATGTTGAAGCACTCATTACAAATAAATCTGTAAAGAAAATACAAGATCAAGTAGAAAAGTTGAGTAAAATATACCTTAAAATATGAAGTCAAATAAAATGATAAACAAAAATATTATTATTATTATTCACAAGATTGTGAAAGGCAGCAGGGGCAGCAGCGGCCTTTCACAATTAAGGCAGCAGAACAGCAGTAGGATGGCAAGAGCGGCAGTAACCATGATTCATTCCTCTCAATTAAAGCTTCCAAATTACGAGACTGTTGCAAACCGATGGTTGGTTAGAAATGCACTACCAAGGTTAAAGCAGCCCACAAGCAACATTACAGCAGCTCTTACCAACTACATGAACAACACTACAACATTGCACAGACAGCATTGCAGCAATCCAGGGCACAAACAGCAATGCACATGCAATAAAAAAACTTGCGGTAGAGACTAGGAGCACATGGCAAAAGCGACCCACGAGCACCTGTCTATGAGACGATGAGAAGAAGAGCGAGGACCAGAGAGGAAGGGGGGATCAGCAAACAAAAAGAGATCCGGAGTCAACGAGAAGCAAAAGGAAATTGGTGTTGATTCCAACCCATAACTTCTCTTCAATCCTTTTACAACTTATGCATTTTTGCGACTGGAGTTGGGCAGCGACAAAAACTGGAAATTTGTCCACTCAGGATTGCCTAAGTGGATGGACGTTAATCCAAATGAAAAGTCATCCACACATCGTGTCATCTTCATGATACAATCGCAGGGATGTCCTGTCAAGCTGGTTAGAGGAGGAGGGGGTAGCGCATTCAAGCGTCGCTGCGTTGGAAACGCAGAACGTGAATTTGGGTGGAATACCTTGCTTTAAAAAGAAACGGTGGGTGCGCATAGAATAGTCAACTCTAATAGGGGCCATGAAGTGCTGTATGGTTGATCTACCATAGTCTTCTCCTAGCCTCGTCCACAGTAGAGGCGGCAGCAACAGCGCCAGCAGCAGCGGCAATGCAGAAATGCAGCAGGCAGAATGTCCGCGAGCATCGCAACAACAACGACATTCATCCCCAGTTTATATTTGTTCAGAACCCTTTTTTTATCGGCTTCATTTATCTTTTGCGAGCGGGGTGCTCTTGGAGAAGATCACACAGAGGCGTGCTGTTTCGCACAAACTTTCCATGAGAGGGAAAAATGGGTAATGATTGTGCTCGTCATGCCTTCTAGATCCAAGATCCGTGAGCAACAGAACCATCCAGCTCATGGACCCATTCAGAGTGACAGCCCAGCGTATCAAATTGGGACACGACCCCAGGGGCGGCCTTCATCGAGTGTGGGCAAAGAGAGTGGCCCCAGCCCAATGGGACGTGTGGGCCTCATCGCGTTCGGGAAATCTAGGAATCGACTAGATTAGATACGTCGCCGCGCCACTGCACGCCATTACTGCCGGTGCAATTACCATGACGGAGATGGGGCGGAGGATGGGGAGCGTAATATGTGTTTATGTAGCTATTGGACAAAAAGCTTCTTCAGTAGCTCAAGTAGTTAATACTTTTGGCCAGCGAGACCGCGCTCCAGGGTTACCACTCGAGTAGCCAAACCGGACCTTCTTTGTGGAAAGGCATACAGCCAAGTGGCCGAGAGGTTCCATCGGCGCGGAACAGGACGGTGACCAACTGTTCTCGAAACAGAGAGAGGCTGGTCACATCTTTCATTTTGCGAGAACGAGTCTCCGATTTTTAGGACGGCGGTTTGTTTCTTTGCTTTGAGATAAGTCGGGTTTTTGCCTGCTTTCATCTGGGAGTAGGATCTTAGAGTCGCTACCGTCCTGCTTCTAGTTCGTGTTCTCGAAACAGAGAGAGGCTGGTCACATCTGTGTTCATTTTGCGAGAACGAGTCTCCGATTTTTAGGACGGCGGTTTGTTTCTTTGCTTTGAGATAAGTCGGGTTTTTGCCTGCTTTCATCTGGGAGTAGGATCTTAGAGTCGCTACCGTCCTGCTTCTAGTTCGGCCGTGTCCGCGTTCGGCGTCGCAGCAGGCAATTGTGGTCTCGGCAGTTCCCGCACGTGCATTCCGCGGGGGAAGAGTACTCGGTCCTAATTTTTTTAGATTTGGTGGATTAGTGTTGTTGGGGGAAGGGAGGCGGTGCGGTTCAGGCTTTGAGGACGTTGGCGACTCCCTACAAGTCCCATTGGTTGCTATCATTCGTCGCGCGAATTTGACGCGATTTCTCCTTCAGATCCGGGTGCTAGATTTTGACCAAGATCAACAGATTGCAGTTGTAGTTGGGCGTGTTTGATCGTATGAAACTTGCATCAAGTGGGAGAGGACTATGTAACATCACGCATTTTATGTTCGAGCCGATCGCCAATAGTTAAGGTGCTCCAGGTTTTGCGGAGAGCAGGCTGTTGAGACACGTACGAGGCTGAGTTCTACCGACAGGGTTTTTGGTGCATGTATGCGGAAGTGGATTTTGTCTTAGACGCAGCTTGATGCGTCGCGTTCTGGGAGCTGCTTACCGGTCCATGGACTTTTCCCGGGCGAGTAAGTGATCCTCGTGTCTGTCTTCCAAAAGGCGCCGTTATCCGCTCTAACCAGCACATAACCTCTTGCGCACTGTAACCAAGTTGAAATGGTGTATCATTGGAATCACGAAGTCGAGGTTTCCTGATCGCTTCGTGTGTTCATTCCGATTTGGTGACGTCTGCTAGAATTATTCCTTCATAAGCGGAGTGCGAATGACGATGAACCCCGCCATTGTAACAAAATTCCTTGAAAAGCACTTTAGTATACAACTCACAAGACAAAGTTCAAAAAAAAAATGTCTCTCAGTACTTGACGAGACCCTAGACCTCATCTTTAGCTATTTAGATCCCGAGGACCGGGCTTCCGCCTCCTTAGTATGCAAACACTGGCACCGGGTCGATGGCGAAACACGAGAACAAGTCTCCGTGTCCAATTGCTATTCCGTTTCACCATCAGCTCTCAGCAAAAGGTTTCCCAACATCGAGAAATTTAAAATTAAGGGGAAACCTCGGGCCGTGGAGTTCAATCTTCTCGTAGATGACTGGGGTGGTTATGCAAGCGCATGGGTCGAAGAGATAGTGAGAGCTTACCCGAGACTTCACACACTCCATTTCCGGCGCATGGATGTATCTGACGACGACTTGAAGATACTGGCACAGGGTTGTGGGTCTGCTCTGCAGGTAATTTTTCAGCGTCTCATCAAAGTTTCAATGAAGATTCTTCTATGAAATTCCTTTCCGCTCCCTCGATTGCGTTTTTTTCTGCCGAATCGCTGCAATTTATCATTCGCATTCAGGAATGCCTGAAATGTCGTTTGTTAGACCACCTTTATTTACTTTCTTGTCAGATGACGAGTTTCAGTTTTCTGTATGGCGTTGATAGGGTTTGAAATAATTGTCAGGTGGATTCTAAGGTTTTAAGAAGGGATAGCATCCAAGATAAGATGATTTCATTCATTTTTATTTCAATAATTCTTTAAACTAGTTTGTGAAATATGTAGCTAAGATGCCTTTGTCCAAGCAGTGGTGCTTTGAGAAGGTTCCTCCCCTCTGTAACTTCAGCCAGCTGAAATGCGTTGTGTGATAGTTCAGGTACTGAAATTAGACAAGTGCTCAGGCTTCTCGACCTTAGGCCTTCAGCATATTGCTCGCTCTTGCAGGTAATGACTGTAACTTGGAGCTCTAAAAATAAACGAAAAAGCTTTTCTTTTGAACCGTCAATCTTGGATTGTTTTGATCTAGACTGGTTGATATCCCGATTATGCACAGAGACATGTTTGTCATCGCACGAAGTAGTTGGCCCTATTATGTTTCTCAAAACTCCGAGTATCTGTGTGAAGAGTTAATGACGTGTTTTATTGAATTATATCTTTTCACAATGAACTGTTTTATTGAATTCTTTCTCTTCACTTGGATAAGCAGGACATCACCTGCTGGACCCTGTGAGGCGAAGAGAATTGCAAGATAGGATACAATTCATTTAGTTAAAATGACTTCATCTGCAAGTGATGTCCTGCTTAACCAAGTGATTGGTCTTTTTAGACCTGACAGGACTCAACTGATTTTGTGAACAGGTCTTTGAAAACGCTGTATTTGGAGGAAAGTGATATTGAAGACGAAGGTCATGAATGGCTACTTGATCTTGGACGAAATGTTCCTGGATTAGAAAGGCTTAATCTGGCTTCAACAGGTATAGAAGAAGGTGATGTCAATGATGTCCTAGTGGTTTTAATGCAGAATTGCAAATCACTAAATTCTCTTAAAGTTGGTGAAATGACGCTTGAGAACTTCAAAGAGATCATGAAGTACTCAACTACACCACTTTTGGAGCTTGGTAATGGGTGCTACAGCATGCGTAATGGCGTACGTGAGGAATTAACGTTTGACGCCGCCTTTATTCCCTGGGTCTCAAGATTGAAGGTTCTTGACTTAAAATTCATGAACCTGAACGCCGCGGGCCACTGCCAGCTACTTGCATGTTGCCCTCTACTTGAAGAACTGGAGGTGTGACTCTCTCAAACAACTGACATTTCGTGCAGGTTTTTCTTTAGTGCCAATTTGGGGTGTCTTTCGAGTTTTGGCTCAGTATCGATTTTGGACCTGGGAATTTGCACTCATTCTTTTCAAGGAAACCTGCTTGAATTCAGTACAGTAATCACATCAAACATTACTAAACCTCGGTCGCGGAGAATGGAGTTGCTTTTAAGCATTATGTGCCATTTCGCTTGTTATATACTCATTGATGTTACGTGCAATGTGTTCTGCAGGCAAGAATTGAGATCCTTGATGAGGGTCTGGAAGTCGTAGGGAAAACCTGTAAATATCTTAAACGGATTCGAATTGATGACCAGGATAGTCCGGGATTTATAACTCACAGGGGCCTCACTGCAATTGCGAAGGGCTGCAGAGAACTGGAATTTTTAGTAATGTACATGAGAGATGTCACTAACAGCTCCTTAGAGGCTGTTGGGCGCTATTCTGAGAACCTGAACGACTTCCGGATTGTTTTACTGAAGACACTAGCGCATCCGGAAGACCTCCCACTGGACAAAGGAGTGTGTTCTTTACTGCAAGGCTGCCCAAAGCTGACCCGTTTTTCTGTGTACTTGCGTCCGGGAGGCCTTTCTGACATAGGATTGTCATATATTGGGAAGTACGGGGGAAGGCTGAAGTGGATTCTACTGGGCTGTTCTGGTGAAAGCGATCAAGGGCTATTGGACCTTGCATATGGTTGTCAGAACCTTAGAAGACTTGAACTTCGTGGATGTCCCTTTTCCGACGCAGCCTTGGCACAAGGCATGATGAACATGGCGAAAATGAAGTATCTGTGGGTCCAAGGCATTGGCGCAACTGAAATGCTCGGCAGATACTTAGTAGGGTCACATCCTTGCCTCCACGTGGAGTGGATGCCTTCTGAACAGCAGTTACTAGCATACTACTCGCTAGCTAGTCATCGAACGGATACTCCTCCAACTGTAGAAATTTTGTCTCAGAGTCGATTTGACTACGATTCCGAAATTTTCGGTGATTATGATGAAGAATGTGTTGGCAACTTGGAGAGTGGAGTTTTTGACGGAGAATATGGCGAGGGCCCCGATGTTGGTGATTTTGATGGAGAGTATGGTCATGGGACTAATTGGGATTTCTAAATCTATCTTCTGCGGGCTTTCCACCTCAGGAGCTTCATTCGGATACCGTCAGCTGGTACATTCACTTAACATTCAGCATTTGTATCATGTCCATCCATCAAAATGACTAAATGCTTTGTCCCTGTAGCTCACTCTCTTCTGTCTATGGGATTATTCTCAATCTGCTTGGGCCAAGAGATTGCATGTGTAAGCAGAACAAATTGGAGTTTCTTTCTGTGGCATCTGCTATAATCCAGTATTTTTTGCTGAGTCCAATTGGAAGTAGTTCCCTACTGCTCCATCTGGAGGTCACAAAGTGGAATATTGCGTCGTCAGGTTCTCAGAACAGACGTGACATAATGGCTTTGACAACGACATGGGTAATTATATATCCTCCGCAAATGCACCTGAAAGCTGTCCAAACTGGTCTTGCTCCTGTGAGTTTAAGACTATTTCAGTGGCAGCCGTTGTGAACCGCCAAAGGCCTGCGTATTGCTGGCATTTAGACAGGCAATTCCGTTATCGTCAATGGCTCTGACATTGTCAGGAAATGAGTTATGAGCAATTCGAAATGTTAACACAATGGCGGTATTGGAGTTAATGTCCGTGAATAAAGGTAAACCGGCCTAGCTACATATAGTCTTGTCGTGATTGTTTTTTTCTCTATCATCAGCTATAATGTATACTCAACAGTTTCTGAACTACAAGTAGTACCCAAGTGCATTAATTATGTTTGTTTGAACATCTGCAGGAATCATGTTTATTTGAATCCCACTTTTCGGCGCGATGTGCTGTTTCAGACACCAAACTGAATTACTTCAGAATTTTTGAATCCATGAAAAGCAAGAGCAGCAATGTAACGAAATGTATATTGGCCAATTGGCAGTGCTGCTGCATTGTCAATTTAGTTGATGATGGTTACAATACTGTCTGCATTTACCTTTTCTGAAGACAACGTCAGCATAGTATATAACTGGGGCACATGTATGTGTTATCTTAACCAGCCTTGTTAGATTAGATACTGTATGACCATGTGACGTGGATATGGAGCAGAATGTGACAAATGCATATGCAGTCTGTAACACACTGACCTAATAATACTAACAATTTGTGAGCAAAAAGGGGGAAAAAGTGAAATAATATTGAAACCTCATGTAATCTTTTTCATTCACGCGCAGCACTAAACCAGCATTATATTGACCGTGAAATTTTCGCTAAAAAAGGTACTTTCCTCGCCCATTGAAGCGGATCGTTTGTAATTGCATGTGTCGAAGGAAAGAAGAATACTGCTTTGAACTCTCTGATTTCAACCGCTTTATTATATTTTGATTGTTTCAAACTCGTGTGCTAGATACATACGATCTATTTCTTCCTAATTCACATATAAATATCAATTTCCACTTCATCAGTCACAAGAAAATATTCTTAGTATGCTACATCCACGCAGTCACAGCGATTGTGAATACCAGAGAAGAACTGAACTGGCTTTAGTCTAAATAGTCACAGCGTCTAAGAAGCAGGTAATGTGCTTTCCGAATGCGTTGCAATCTCTCTGCGAGGAACATTCACAGGAGGCTGTCATACCTTAACGAGGATGGATCGTGTGACTTCGACCTGCTGATGACATCGATGAAGACAAGCCGAGTTGCAATTAACATTCTGAAAAGCTCGTTGACATGAATTTCGAGGGGTGCCAATCCGAGTCCAAGGTCAGAAGACCGTTTTCGTAATACCTCCACCTCTATCTTCAGTTCGGCTACGTCGCTTCGCCGCATTGGAAAGTTCCTTTCGGTAAGATGCCAATCGAGAACCTCGTGAAGGCGCCGGACAGATACATCCGTGTCGTGAAGCTCGCGGAGAAGTGCAATTGAGCCCATGTTCTTACTCTTATCTATTTCTTCTTTCACTTTTTGTTGTAGAGAAACTAGTGACCCTGACCACTTGTAGTGATTTGCCAGATGAAGACTCGCCAGCGGCCGTCTCGGTTTGCAAGCCAGAGCGGTGACGACCAAGTTGCACAAGAATATGGTCGTTAACTTGGCTCCGTAAATTGCATTCAAAAGACCATTGCCCTTGATGGCCTCAGGTCCCCTAGGATTTATGAGCTTCTCTCCCATGGTCCTCAACAATGAGCTGCAATTCTCAAGCTTAGACTTCGGAACTCCTTGTTTGTATTCAGTATCTTTTTTCTTGATGGCTTCCTTGCAATCAGCCAGGGTGTTCCTGGCCCTATAGTACTTCCCCTCGCTGCAGCTCTCAGTTCTGTTGTCAACATTATGGAGGGCAAGCTGCACCAGTGTCTGATAATTCTCGACATCTGCAATTCCATCTCTCAACACATTGCATACATCCAGAAGCTTCGCATTATCATCAAGGTAATCCTCAATCCACTTATCAGTTCCTTGACACAAGGACAACTCTGAATCAGGGATGAGCCTTCCTAAGTTTGTGTGCGTTGCCAGGACAACGGACATGGCTTGGAGCAGCCAGTTTACACTCAAAAACCCCTGGACCTCGCCAGACAGTTTCAATGCTTCGAGCCACTCCATAAGTCGCGTTTCAAACTGTTGCAGCGCCGAATTCTGGCACAGCATCACATGGCTCCGGCGATTCAACGAGAAATGCCCGTGCAGCACCGCCCCGATACCAAACAGACCTCCTTGATATTTCATCTATAACCTAGAATTCTGAAATGCTGTTCAAATCCAGAACTCGCTTGTATACTTTTAGACACACCTACAAGAATGTATCCTGATTAAGCCTATTGAAGCTAAGAAACGATTGCGATCTTAACTCTAAGCGCACGCTTTGAACACAAGACATCCGCAGCGAACTCTTTGCTTGCTCACACTAAATTGGTGGGGGGAGCGAGGATCACCACGAATTCCACTTGCCGATCGGATGACACACTCGGAAGAAGTTAAAATTCTCAAATTCTTTAAGAAAACTACATTAGCAAAAGCTTCGATGTAGCTCGAACATCTAGGAACTGAAAGACAGTCTCACAGCTTAAGATCCTGCATCTATTCAAGTAAACACTGCAAAATCAAACAAGTGTCGACTTCGAAGACAAAAAGTAACTGACTCATTCCAGTGAGGAAGCATATAAGTGGAGACTGGTGCGATGGGAAGAATAACGCTGAAGGCGTGGGCAAAGAGTGAGAAGCAGCGCGTGCGCAGACGACACTTCCATGGAGGACGACAGAGGATTACTAATCATCATTCCAGAGTAAAAGACGACGCCGAAGGGAACAGTAGAGATGCAACGGCAAGTCAGTCCCGAGTCCAAAGGAAAGAAGAATCATGTAATGTCGACGATGTCAACTATGTCCTGCGCACAACAGCCATATGCATACTGCAGAATAGAATAATCTTATGCTAGCGATGGAACGTTGAGCCGAACACACAGTTCGTAGGCAGCTGAATGTGGAAGTCTCGACGGACGTAAACGGTAATGAAGCCATCGATTGTCAGACGAATTCAAGTTCCAGCACCTTCACAATCATGAGAATAATCCAAGGTATTATAATTAAATCTCCAACAGTCATAAAGATTCGGAGTAAGGCGCCGCAGCAACGTACTCTGGGGTGTTTCTGTATGGTCTCATCGAGTTTTGTATGGGAATATCCTATCCCCCGTTAATGGGTACGTGTTGCAGGCATATTGAGGCAGCAGAACAGACCAGACATCCTGTCCACCTCAAAAAAAAAAACATTTTCTGGTCCAATTTCCTTGTGACATCTTGGAGTTAAATTTTTGGGTAAAACACTATGTAAGGTGGACTTAGTCAATGTAAAACAGACCAACTAATGCTACTACGTATATATTAGTTCTCATCAACTTTGCCACTTAAATAAATAACTCTAAAATCAAAATATCATCATTAAACTCAAGCACTCAAGAATCCTAGAAGAAAAAGACCAAAAACTTCACCAGCATTCAACCATGATAATGCAAAGCAATTCAGTCAGGGAAACCTCACCCAATAGTGTAGTAGTGTTTAAATAGTAAAATCAGATTAACCTAGAAAATCAACCACTTACGAATCGTCCTGCCACCAGGAGTTGGAAATAATGTAAAAGACTACCTACCTACACTTCGACACTGCAGGTCATACCTGGTTTCAGCTAAAAAGAACAGTGGATGAGGAAAAGGCACTACGAAGACTGTTTCACATTGTTGAACACATTCAAAAAATTCCAAGCTGGAGTCAGGCGCACGAAGAAAAATTAAGGAACCATTCCAGACGCTGCTCATAAAGGAAACGTCTGTGAGGAACTCCCATGTCATCAGGGGTCTTCAACTATCAGAATCATGCCCTAGAACCGTCAACCCACTTTTCCCAATCCCAAAAATGTCCTCCGAAAATCTATTCCAGTTCTTGGAATTGTCCGCTAACCGGAAAAAGACTGTACAAGTCCCGGCTGCTCAACACTTTCTTCCCAAGTCCTTCACATTGACCTTTAACACCACCAGACTTTCACCATCTAATCTATCTTCACGGATGCGTAGATCACGCGTACGAACCAGTAACAAGCATAGAACCCTATCGTCCCTGTCAACACAAAGAACGCATATGATATTATCCCCATATATCCGAAGTACAATATCCCCGACACTACCTTCGTGATCTGCAACTTCGTGAAGAAGTAAAACGCCGCATACATAAACAGATACAACGCCGACGACCCTGACGTCAAATACGCTCTCCACCACCAGTTGTAGTCCTCACTGCACAGCTGAAAGTAGCACAGTACGACCGTAATCTCCGCGCAAGTCACCAGCAATATCAAAAATACCAAAAACAAAAACCCGAATATATAGTAGAATTGGTGCATCCAGATCGACGTGAGGATGAAAAACAACTCGATGAAGACAGCACCAAAGGGCAACACCCCTCCAATCAGAATCGAAAACATTGGCTGCATGTACCATGGCTGCTCAGGAATCTGTCGTGGAATCTTGTTAGTCCGAACAGGGTCCTCGATCGCTGCCTGCTTGAACCCAAAGTAGCTCCCAACAAACACCAGCGGCACCGAGATTCCGAACCACAAAAACATCAATACGAACATTGTCCCAAACGGTACCGCTCCAGAGGATTTCTCTCCCCACAGCAAGGCGTTCAAAACGAAGAATATCACAAACACCACTCCGGGAAATGTGAACGCCGTTCTCAGCGTGTTCCTCTTCCAGTCTGCCCCTCTGAACATCTTGTACATACGCGAGGACGAGTAACCAGCAAATAATCCCATGAAAACCCAAAGCAGCAGCATGGCCGTCATCAACCCACCACGATTGGCAGGGGACAGGAATCCAAGCAGAGCGAATATCATCGTCACCACCACCATACCAAAAAACTGCACACCTGTGCCCACGTACACGCACAACAGTCCTGATTTCGTCGGGGGCCTGAATACGTCTCCATGGACCAGCTTCCATCCTGTCTCTTCCTGAGCTTCTTCAACGCTTTCCAGCTGGTTGTATCGAGAGATATCTCGGAGAAGAGTACGCATCATAATCATGGCGACCATGCCTGATAGGAATAGCACAATCATGAGGGAGTTGATGATGGAGAACCAGTGAATCTGCGCATCTGTCATGAGTAGATATGTATCCCAGCGAGAAGCCCATTTGACATGACTGTACTGCGTAAGCACATAAAATATTGTTAGAAAATAGATTCGAAAGCACAAGACATGAAAAATTAATTCAACCTCACACATGATGAGCAGAACGGTTATGAGACGAATTTCTCACCTTAAAAGCTACATCATATGTAAAGACAACTTCTTGCCCATTGTCTATCTCTTGCCACTCCTGTGCTGATGAGACGAAAATTTTCTTATATGGGTTGCAGGTAGACAACTTGGTAGCGTGCTTTTCCCAGCGATCGTACACATGTTTCACACTGTGAGGTAACAGAGAAACATGAGTTTTAATCACTCCTGAACACTTTAACACGGCTAGGATACAACTCAGAATCATAAGATTCTTGAGGCTGCAAGCATGATACACATGACACAAGCGTGAAGTATCAGATTGACCTAAGCGTGACTTCAAGGTCAGACACGAGACGACAGTAGGACAACGAGCAACGACAACTAATACCCTGCGCGCGTTACTCAAGTGTCAAATCAGCCACTTGGCACCGATTTACTACATACCGACCTATTGCACCCACCTGAATGGTTTCACCTCAAACCCAACTATACGTGACGCATCATATTCGATATCCTGGTGATACAACACAACAAAGGAAAGATGGTTGTTTATGAAGTGCTTCAGTTCACCACCCTGCAGAAGCGATCACAGTGATTAGTCACGAATTCGTAGACCATTTCAAATAAGTTGTGCTCAGATAAGAACTGAAGGTTATCTAAATGGAAATACAAACCTTCTTCAGTGGCGCCTTGAAACCGACAGAGAACCCGGGGTCATAGGTCATTCCAGTGGGACCTTGAGTATGAGTCATTCTTTCAGCAACTGGCAGATTATCCAGAATCCTAAAAATACGAAGGCCAGAAATTTACTTCTTACGCACTGATAATCAATCATTTTAGTGACGTAATTTAACGGGCACTATGAACATAAAAATTAAACTCTCTCTTTCACTCTCTCTCATACATACATACAAATAAAATTGAAGTCAATCAGATCACCTACATGTTCACACGGTAGTCTTCATTAATTTTTTGTTTGAAGTTCTTCACTGCACCTTGAGATAGATTTGCCTTTCGACAAACGATTTTGCAAGTTTGATCGATTTTCATTGGGAACTGCCAAACACACCACCAGCATTATGTTTTAGTAACAGTTAAAATACCTCAATGATCACATTGAACACGAAGATACTCTTATCCATTTCATTTCAAAGTGCAGGAATAATGTCCAACAATCATGTACAGTATAAGAAGGAAGAGGAAACGAAAGAGTTCTATGAAGGCATGCGGTTGGAATTCCCACCATTGCAGGGTAGACATTGACATGGATGAATACTGGAGATTAGTTTCCAGACAATGGACTGAAAAAGATGTATAACGTACAATATAAAGCCTTCAACTCAAGGGGTATACTAACATTGCTGAAAAGAATTATGTGCACCAAGACTTTGGCTCAGAGATTACGTACAACGTAAGGTGAGTTCTCAATGCGATCACCTCGAAGAACCTCTCCCAAGTTCTCGGCACTGTTCACAATCCCTGAACTTGGCTTGCAGTAGTCAAGCGAGTAATAATCATAAGGCAATTGAGTCTTGACGGATGACAGCTTATTCACTTTCACAGTCACCTCCGCGCCCTGTACAACCAGAAAAGAGCGCAAATCGAATCATCGTCACAATATCACGCATTCGGTCATAGATTCAAAATGTGAACAAGACAAGGAAAAAGGCAAAAAAATAAAAATAAAAACACAACAATCAACACACAAGACAAAACAGAAGAAGAAGCAGGTTTCCAAAATCCCAGTATTAACCAGGGATTCTGCATTACAAACTCTCCAGTCGTCGATTTACTCGACAACCTCAGCTGTAACCAAACCTGTGAGTTTAACAAATGCGACTCAAACCTCGAAACCTCACAAAACGAGCTAAACTTGCGACGAACTGAGCTCTCCGACAGAGTGATCGATCGATTGCAGGTGCCATTTTGCGACCCAGAAAGAGTAGTAGAAGAGAAAAATCATATGCAACGCACTTTTCCAAAGTCGATGGGAGCAACACCCGGCAAGTAGAAGGCAGAAGCCAACGGAGCTGAAAGCAATGCCAGCAATGGGACAAAAACGACGGCCATGACGGCCACTCGGAGCTGCATTGCCCCCCGCCCGATCCAAAAAGCCTGAGGGGATCGCGCGATGGTCCTCCCTCGCCAAGACAATGTTAAGCTCCCCCTCGCACAAAGGCACCTAAACACCTCGTGAAGGGCAGCGGGAGAGGACCCGAGCTCCAGACGAAGGCCGCGACGTAGACCCGCACAAAAACCAAAGCGCCAAACCCTAATCTCCGGAACCCTTGATAGCAATGAACCCTACTCCCAGTGGTGGGATTATCGCGTTCGGCTCTGCATTTGTGCCTCCATACCCAATTCGCGTTGCACGTACCCAATGCAATCCCCCTCCCCTCACAGCCCAAGTCCAAAATCCTCCCAGCCTTCTCCTCCCCATTGCCATTATAGAGCTCCATGTGTATTAATGGCAGTCAGGAAAATCTCGTCACATGACCTTCCAATTTACCTTGCGATGTTCACGATCGCAGTCAACACATGGCACCTTGTGTAAAAGAAGGGGCTATGGAAAGTGCTGCGCATCAGATTCGAGTCAACTGAATGTCTATTCCAACTTATTTATATAATGAAGAATGATCATTTTGGTACAATATCGCAGAGGAAAGTATACTATACCAACACTGAAATAGCGTTTGCATGTGTGTGTTAGTGTGTATGATATGTTGGAAATTATTGTTTGCATCCCAAACAAACACAAATGTATATAAAATAAATATGTGAGACTACAATACTGGTATATTTATTGCTATACTTCTTTACCCCTTGTAGTCGCCTAAAATAAAGTCATGACCATGTTGGACAGAATCCTCATGGGTCACTATGTTTATCGTCCATAACATGCGAGAATAGTTTTAAGACATGAGAATTTAAGTCTTAAGGTAGAAAAAGTCCCTGTGCCATGTACTGACACTTTTGGCATGGTTTAATGATATGGACACGTTCCAGTGGCTTGGGGTTTGTTTCTTGCAGTTGGTGCCTTCAAATTGTCTACACAGTTTCAAAACTTCGGATTAGAGAGTACAGAGGCTTGAGGTTTACAAAGCAAAGCTTTGAAATTACCGCTGGTATGTGAGTGGGTACAAGGTCTCAGTGGTTGGGGGCAGAATACGAGAACATCCAACGAGTACGCTGGCGATCTGGAAAGATATTAGTTGTCGAATTTATTTTATCGTTCGTGTAGAGAAGAACCACAGGTAATCCCCCAACAGGCTGCATTCACAGTGAAATAGGTCAAAAGTAACTACGGTCCACCAAGCCGTAAAGATGGTGAATCAAATTAAGTCTATATTGTGCGTGATGAAGAGATGCGAGAATCAAGTGCTTGTTTAGATTCCAAAAGACCCGGATGTAACAAGCTTAAGTAGCAACATATCAAGAGAGCCATTACCATTAAATGACACTGCTACATCGTCGTAGATCTGGTCAGATACCAGAACCGGCGAGAAGCATGCAACACAAGAAAACCTGGAGATGTAATGGTTATGCCGATAGGGTTTCATTTAAAACAATCTACATAACCCAGTGCTAATTGTTCTGGGAAGTCGAGCACATATCCGTACCAGCCTCAACTTAGTCGCCTGGACATGAGTTTCTATTCTAAGTTCTAGTGGTCATCAGCATCTTCGACCTTGGAATCCTTTCCTTCTTCACCAATGTCGTCCTGCAGTAAAGATACTCTTATTAAAACCCTCAGAAGGAATACTGAAAGCGTCACCAAACAATTGGGACTTGGAGAAATGATGAACAACAACAACAATAATAATAACAGCATAAATATTAAAAGAATCAAAGTATTTTTTTTTTTTAAATGGAGCAACCATTAGATTCCTCCAGCAAAATTCGTTCTCACCTGCATATCTGAAGTCCATAAGGTAAGGTTATCCCGGAGCAGCTGCATAATGAGAGTACTGTCTTTGTAGGATTCCTCTCCTAAGGTATCTAACTCAGAGATAGCTTCATCAAAAGCCTGCAATTTCATGCAATCAGTCGATCATGGCACGAACTACACTTCTCTACTTTTCGTTTTCTTTTCCAGATTTACCTGAATAGCTTCTGAATTTCATTCTCTTGTCAACAAAGACAGAATATATCATTCCTAATCAGTAATATACACAACTTATCTACCCGACGGTTCCAATGTAAGATAAAGCACGTACCTGCTTGGCAAGATGGCATGCTCGGTCTGGAGAAACCAAAATTTCGTAGTAAAAGACAGAAAAATTCAAAGCCAATCCCAATCTGATAGGATGTGTGGACGCCAACTCTGTCGTTGAAATGTCCTGAAAACACAACTAAAGGTCAAAAAATGCGAGTAACACTACGACGCAATACACTTAAGAACATACTCAGCAACATCGTGATGTAGAGAAAAATACTTGGTTGAATTTCAAAGAACATCAGTAAGCAACAATAAAAATAACTACATATGGTAGCAAATGACAACTTAAAAAACAGACCGCGTTCTACTACTGACACGATTTAAATAGAAATTCCAAAGGAAGACGGATAAAAACGCGGCTAGATGCTATACAAATCCTAGAAAATCTGGGACTCAGATTTGTGCAATCACAACCAAAATGCTCATAGCTAGAGTGTGCAATTAAAATCAACGGTGGCAAGGCACATGAGACCCTCACTTGTGCATGCTTGTACGCGTGCAATGTAGCCTCAGCTGCCTCTTTTCTCTCAGCGCCGGCTTTGAACTCAGCCAGGTACCTGTGATAGTCTCCCTTCATTTTCAAGTAAAAAACCTTCGACTCCCCCGAGGTGGAGGACGGGATCAGGTGCGAGTCCAAAAGCTTCAATATAGTGTCACAGATGGTGCTCAACTCAGCCTCTACTTTGGATCGGTACTCCTTAATAGCAGCGACGTGCTCCTCAGACCCCTTGGCCTCTTCCTTCTGCTCGATGGAAGAGATGATCCGCCACGACGCCCTCCTCGCACCAATCACGTTCTTAAACGCCACCGACAACAGGTTCCGCTCCTCCACGGTCAGCTCCTCGTTCTCCACCGCCTTTACCACATTCTCCATGGCTTCCACCATCTCATCGTACCGCTCCGCCTGCTCGGCGAGCTTAGCCATGTACACATTTTCCTCTCGTAGCTCCGTCATTGTGAATAAGTTGAGTTCACTCGGACAATCGTAACAAAATTCCGCACACAAACTCGAATCCCGAGAGTCTTCGCACAAACTCAAACAACAGGATCAACGAAGTCTCGCAAAAGTGGATCCGAACAACGTCGTCGCCGTGGTCGAGCACATTGGCAAGCAAACAAGCAAAGGGAGGGCGGTGTATACAATAGTCGGGAGCTGGAGGGGGCGGGACACGCGGGCAGACAAGAAAATGTTTCGCAGCAAAACGAGATGATCAGAATCGGCGGCAAAAGAAGCATCCAAAGGCGAAGGTGTATGTGCCGCGTGTTATTGTTTGAACACGTCAGCTATCGAATATGCTGACAAGGAGCTTTGAATAATGAAGCTAACGGAGCCTGATGTCCTCGATTTCCCTGAGCTGCTAGAGCCATACGCGTGTCGCTACACGTGGCGAGAGGATTGACAGGGATGTGACTGTGTAGATGGACTCAGAGGGAGGAGAGGAGGCTCCTATTGGCCGGGCCGCCCTGCTTCTTCACCCGCCGATTTGGGCGGGCGATGGTCCTGGGGGGAAGGAGGCAGGAAAGGGACGACGCACTTGCCGCCTTTAAATGCTGCAGCCACAAATTTCAAACAGGGCCTGTCCTTTTCATTTTCTAGCGTCTTAGCTTTACAAGGGATTTTTTATTAAGTGGTGTTTATTTTCAAAATCCATTTGTTGTTGTGTACACATCCTTTCGTGTTTGTTCATCCTGTGGGAATTGAAAAACATCTGTGATTAATTTGAAAACACAACGGCCTGTGTATGTATGTGTGTGTATATATATATATATATATATAGATATATATGTGTGTGTGTGTGTGTACATGTATTTCTTATTTATATGTTTAGACACACACCAAACGAAGATTTCCTTTGTGATAGAAGTTAGAGAGATGTGATTAACTCTTGTTGATTATTAAAATATAATTTTGTGCTTAAAAGTTGTTGTTGTTGTTGTTTTTGTTTTTTTTTTTTTTTTTTTTTCAATATGAATAGATGTATTAAAACAAAATGAAGTATGAGACAAATTCACTTTGTATTGTTTAATCAAAGACATCCCTTGTGAGCTGAATAATTTATTTCTTTGAACTGTTTCAAAGTTATATGACAGAATTTTGTTTTGGGCATTATTATAATATGTTTTATGATTTGATGTAAAATAAATATTGATATATATATATATATATATATATATATGGTAACATTTTGAATCCTCTTGTACAATTCAAATTGGACAAGGGATAGAATATTGTAATTGTTTTTGACAACAGATTTATTCGCTTGTGGAATTAAGACATACATGTATAAATACAGGGAGATCTGTACACCACAACATATTTTAGAAATTGCATGTGAACTGGGATATGTACTAAAATTAGCATAAATTAAGGTATTGATTATCTTGTACTTGTTACTATACAAAAGCTAATTCAAACTGGATAATACTCAATGATTTCTTGAAATAAATCAGTTCTCTATCCTTTGAAATTGCGTTTTCTGTATCATTAGTTATTTAGTTTAGTGTTTTTAAAAAATTAAAATTTTATTAATTCATTTTATTTTATGTTCCCCGTTCTTATTCCTACATGTACGATTATGGTTATTCATTGTAATCTTTTACTATAAAATTAGGGTACTTGAATTCTATCTGTAGTTTTAAGAGAGGTTTGAAACGAAACTCAATGTTTTTAAGAATTCCTTCACTGCCATATTTTCCTAAATTACATTCCCAAATATAACAATGTTACTATCTTTTATGTATATGCAGGAAAAAAAAAAAAAAAAAAAAAAAAACAGAAGTTGATGAGAATAATTGCTACATGCATGGTTGTTATATCTTTGCTAAGATGATTGATTCATGTTTTAGACCTGAAAATTTTCAATGAACTTCGCATTGTCTTAGCACATAAGATTAGTTTCAGAATTTGAGAAACGTATGAAGGTTTCAGCACACATTCTCCCAACAATTGAAGGTTTCCAAGGATGTTAGTCTTGAAGACAACAAAAATCATCACGACTAGCTGTTAATTGACGTGGTCCATATTGTTTGGACCGCTCACAGATAGAGGTTCAGTGCAGATGCAGGGAAGAAATAAATGACGCCGATTCAAAATAGACTTCAGACTAAGACAAAACTCGAATGTGGATGAGGCTTCAAATCGAGATTTACTGGACTGCCCTCGACCTGTCTCTATTTTGGAATGAGCTGTACATCATGTACCGAGATTTCTTAAATTCCATGGAGTTATCACTGTTCGCATTTGGCAGTCTAAAAAAATAAAAGTGACATATGACAGCATGTAGGATTCTTGATGCAACTTTGTGGGACTCAAAAAAATTCTTTTCATATGCTGCCATCTTCACAAATGGAGAACATTGGAAAACAAACCAGTAAGATTCTAGGCTTCGGCACCCTTAATGCAACATCATTCTCACCTGGACCGTATGGACTTCTTGACAGCCACAGCTGAAAATTACTTACCACATCGATATGCACAGGAAGCTTCATTTGCCACTTTGTGCCATTCATCTCATTTTGTTCGCGATGATCTAGGAAAAACAGAGGAACATATGGCCTCAGTCAATATTAAGGAAATCAATACTACGAAAATTATATTACTAATGTCAGCCTAAACAACAGAAACTATCGTGTAACCTTTGATTCTGTAGGAGCAGGATAGCAGATCGAGTCAGACACTTTTGCAAAAATCTATGGATAAAACCTCTTGAAATTCCTCTACTTGAAAACATGATACAATTAGGTCACGTGGCATACATTATTTGGTACCAATATTACACTCAACTCTCAACTGTCAAGAAGGCTGTCCAAGGATCTCATGGATGGATGCCCCATTCTTCTGTCCACTGCTGAAACCAGTTTTTGATAAGATACTTCATGTAAGTGGACGAGCTGAGAAAGCTCGAATCCTTTGCTGCGCGGGGGCATCTCCATACAGAGTTGTGCGTTGATAAGGTACCTTCCCAGTGGATAAAATCAACGTTTCCATCTCTTTCGGGGAAAGCTCTTCACCTGCACATCAGTAAATGTCAACCTTCTTCCAGACGTAACTGAATTTACCGAACTTGGGGTGATTTTCAGGATAATTCTGTATCGACATTTCCGTTCTCGTGAACAACTCAATTGATTCATAAAATTTATATCTTGGTTACCGACCTAACCTTCCGCGCACGGAACATTCACGTATAAAAACCTTTTTTGGTCTTTGCTTACCAGATCGAACCAGTTTCTAAATAGATCCCAAACATCCCTTGGTCTCCCATTAAAAAAAGGTACAATTATGAAAAGAAAAAAAAAGAAAAAAAAAGAAAAAACGTCTACGGATCGTGCCTGCTGGCGACCCGTGACAAGATATCAACTATTGCCACTGCAACAAAACAGACCAGCATGGAAGAATATGGCTTAGTTACCATGTGATGCTCCAGCAGCTCTAGTGATACTCTCATTCATGAGGGAACCTCCCATGTCATTACAGCCTGCTGCTAGAAGAGCTTGAGCTCCACCTGGTCCCATCTTGACCCAGGAGGCCTACACCAATCAAACAAGAAGATCCAATTGAGCAAATTATTCTCTCCAAACAATAATTTTGATTGCGCACAAATAAATGATCACAAGCATAAGTGAGATCGTGCCGCAAGTCAACACATAAATGGCTATCGTTTAACAGACAATAAAACACAGGTCACTGGTCAAAATGAGAGTCAACTGAACATACTGATAGAATTCGATGGACGGATATGCAAGGTTGAGGACTAGAAAGTACGGCTGACTCATATGCATGTGATACGGGTTTTGAAAGCCACAATCGAACCTGAACATTGGTGATAAAGGGATGCAAGACTAGTCGAGCTATGGAATGCATCAGTACACACTCTCGACTTGTAGGCCCCTTTCGAGCGCGGCCTTTTAAGTATATTGGAGCCTGCGGAGCAAATCAATACACGAACACTTACGTCCAGAGATATATAACATAACCATTTAATAATCATGTTTTGTTAGTAAGAAACTAAAAAAGAACCTTGATCTTAAGCCTGCTCATTCGGGGAAGTGAGTATTCAGTTTTGGGTAGTTTAACATGTATACCTGCATGTGCACAAAGGGAAGGGGCACAAACTCTGAGAAGCCACCTGTATTCCTTGCTAGATTCCTTAGACGCAGCAAATGTCTTGCCCTGTGTTCACAACATTCCTTACGCCATCAACAAAAAGAACTATGCAAGCGGCGAATCCATGATACAAACACCAAAGAAACAAGATCATCAACTGGATTCTGCAATAGCGAATCACCAATGCTGAGATCGATCAAGGTGACCGAACATGATGGTCGACGTAGTACGGAGTCCTATCCTATGTGCTGTTTCCATAACCTGCAAGTTTCAGCACAAGAAACATGAGGTAGAAGTTACCAGCAAAGGAAGTCTTAACTTATATGAATAATAGATTATTGTGCCCTCTGCTACGGTAGCTTCGATCAAACGCAGAAAGACTCAGGTCAAAGCATAAGATTAAGGAAGCAGAAATATACCTCGAGCCATTGGTCTGTACTAATTTTGTCTGGGCACAATAGCCTTCGAACTTCATCATCCAATACCTGTCAAACACAAGTTCATAAGAAAATATTGATCCTCATTTCAATAACTGAAGACGGAATTGACATATTCGTAAAGCTAATGATTTACCTAGGACACACTTTGATCTGGCTTGAAAAAAGTGAGAATGATATCAAAATCTAGTAATCTCTGCAGTACCAAGCACAACAAGGACAGAGTACATAGCCTCGGAAGAATACAGAGTCTAGATGTGTAGAATATTTTGAAAAAAATCCTGATTTATGCAAGTTCTATACAGCAGAACTTCACAACATATCAATTCATATTGCTTTCATAATTATTTCTAGAGAGAATCTGCAAGAAAAAAGGGACTTGTATTTCCGAGCTAGGAACATAGGACCAGAGACTCATTTAGCGTGCACAAGGGTTGTTCTCACCTCAGCCGCTGTGCCTGGCAGTGAACCAAGGCCAGCATTCTTCAACTCTACTAAAAACTCCTCTACACTGAGCCCCACACAGAAACCCAGATCAGAACGCAGAGCAATGACGGCACAGCCGCAGTGCCATGTATATTCTAAGGTACTAGTCTGCTTCGTTTTCACACAACGTATGAGAAGCTTTGGGTTGATTTTTTTGGCAACCTAAGGCATTCTAAGAGAGAAATGTCAAGATAAGAACGGAAAGAAACAAGAACTGCATAAGCACCTGACACCAAGGGTAAAAGCTCCTTGAAAAACCTCGAGAGGAGAAAAGGCATGGACGTGCAGTTCTGGAGCAGCTGTCTTTACTGCTTTCAGTATCTCCATGTAAGTTTCCCCAGTGAATTCAGGATGTATTCCCCCCTACGAATCCATATAACATGTAATTACATCGTAGTTACAAGCTGACTAAACAAGAATTACATCGTTTGTTTGAAGATTACAGAATATGATACAGGACTTGTGCATACCTGCATACAAACTTCGGTGGCACCTCTTTCCCAGGCCTCTACAGCTCTACGGGATACTTCATCCAGAGATAAGCTACTCAAAACAGCATACATGTTTGAGTTTGCAGTTAGTCGATCATGAAAAGTGCATTACGAAGCGATGCCTTTTGAGAGCCTTTTCATAGCTTATCCAGGTCCACAACTACCAGCCAAACTGCTGGTACGTCTATGTTAAGCTACAAGAAAACCTAGAAGAAAAGGACATGGTATGAATCGAAAAGCTCCCCGGGACTTAATTCTATACCATGCGACTTAAGGCTGGATGCGGAAAATTGGTCTTAAAACTTAGAAAAAATAATGTCGAAAATTGAAATACCTGTAAGGCTTTCCACGCAGGTTTTCACTGAGCTTACCCTTGCTACAATGGTGACACAAGAAAAATTTAACAACGTCAGTACCGAGATTTGCTTAAAGTAGTAAAAAATCTCGTATTCTAAATAATTCGATATTCGGTGAGTTCCGTGGAAACTTGGCAATAATAAATATTTAGTGATCTGTCCATGATAAAGAGCTAAATGAAAGTACGAGCACTACTAAACTCATGAAAACAGAAGCTCGCATTACACTCCCTACCTGAAGGCGCAAAATTGACACTTATATCCACAAACGTTTGTGTAATTGATATTCCGATTGACGACATACGAAACCTACAACAGAGATGGCGTCATTTAGTATTCAATTGCCAAAGTTCTCAGGAATGTTAGCAGCCGTTGGGCCTAGGTCTTAAAACCAATCCCTCTCCAAATATTGATAAAACTCTTACTTTTTCTCCGTTGACCCTCGCTCGTAACTCATCTGCTGCTTTGACAACGTCATGAAACTCAGGACCCATAGCACGAAACAATCTTGTAACTTCCACCTGACAAAAACATGCATATATACACATCACATATTTATCAACACCTTAAAGAATCATTCAAAAATCACAAATCAAAAGAATATGCCATGTTCGAATGAAGACGTGTCATTTCAATCCATCGACACAACCAATAAATGATGCAGAAACAGATTAACATCCTTATGAAATGGTACACCTCGGATGGCTCGACAGCTTCTTCAATTTTCTTCAGAATTCTCTTTACATCCATTCCTTGAAATCCTTCAAGCATAGCAGAAGAGAAATCTTTTCAAACGAACGAAGTTGAAGCAACAACAAAACTGTATTATAACCAGCTTAATCTCATAGAAATGCTGCGGATCCTACACATTCATCAGTCACATTCTTGGACTAAAGGTTGCCTTTACCAATTGCTCTTGTGGGATGCATTGTGCCATCGGTCCCCACCGATATCTTTGCAGGATTTGTCACGCTATCAAAGTGGTTGCCAGTGCTGCCCCCATTTAAGTTAGACAACTTATCTTCTAAAAAGGAGGAGTGTGCATCTTGGGCTAGGCCTGGAGACCATTCTTCGGCTCTGGCGTACCCAAGGCTATTCTCATGAGCAAGAACTCTCCTTAGGACTGTAGGATCCTGCAACAAGATAAAACAATATTATTATTGCAAGATTCATGTGTACATATATAGTACGAACTTAAACTACAAATAGAAGTTTCAGAATTCATTACGAGAATCGGAAGATAAGTTAGGAATTCAAACACGATTATGTACGTTGAATAAACATTGCAGTTGTAATACACAATCTCCAACGAAGGACTGAGAAATACTTTTAACATTTGTAAATCTTAAAACAGTTATTCACAAGGTTATGTACGACGAGTAAGCTCGCATTGTTATTGATTACATAGGCAAATTGTCCGACTCGAGCGCCCTGTGTGATCCTAAGACATCGAAATTTGGACACACAATATTCACCATGTACTAACCAGCCATAGATCGTTGATGTAAAAAGGATATACGGCTAGCCTTGGCACCATCAGCCTCCCTGCATCTGCTGTTGCAGCTGCAAGTAGATTTACGTGCGGCCAAGGGGCCTGCAATAGGATCTCAAGTGATTCGAAAAACATAGGAAAATTGATCTAGACATAAAGGCGATTCGAGCACATAAATGTTTGCAATAAGTTGATCAAAACTATCAAATTTAGAGGTCCTTATCTCCCATCCACTATTTTATTTACAAAAAAATTAGCACAGTGAGCAATAAGACCTCAGGATTAACCCAATCTTTTGTGACTGGTGAAATGCCGCCCCAATCATTAATGCCTGCGTCAATAAGCCTCTTCCACTCTTTTCCATCGGTCCTGCAGTGCAAATAACCCACAGTAAAATAGCAACGCATCGTTGATGACAATGGGTAGTTTTCCGTAACCAAGACCACTTCAAAGATTATACAGCAAAAGGCTGTGACTGTACTAATTCGAAGTAACATCTCTTCAGAAGAGACAAGAGCTCAAGTATTGAAAAATACACTAAGACTTTAAAATAATATAAATATAAATATAAATATAATATAAATATAACAAAAAAACATAATACAACACTCCTAAACTTCAGATCAGGGTGCTCGAAACTCCTCACAAAAATCTCTGGTCTATAAACACGTATAGTCATTACCAGCACATTCTCTAACATAATGCAAGGTCAGAAATAGTACATGGTGGGAGTAAGATTAGGAGGTGCTTGTATACTCATCGATGTTCCGAACACCAATCGAGCCATTGCAATTGTCCACTCCAGCTCTACCAGCGGAGGCTCAGCCGCTTTAGCCATAGCAGTGCCCTTCTTTGCGCGGAAGTTTTGGATGATGAGTTCCTGAATATGTCCATACTGCTTATGCAAGTTGCGGAGAGCAAGCAGAGCCTGCAAACGTTCTTCTCGTGTTTCCCCAATACCAATGAGCAGGCCGGACGTGAAGGGCACCTTTTCCTCTCCTGAAACATGAATTGGAGTACAATTGTGAGACATACTTAAGCTCTGTTGTAAACATATCTCCTTAACTCCATCAATCTGGCAACAATATAGTTCAAAACTAGTCCTTAAACCCCTGAATCATGATCTTCACAAATGTAACTGTCAGCTTGGCGCTACTGTAGAAATATTGGAATTACTTCTTCATCATCTGCTTATACTGAGCATGTGAAAAGACTCAATTACCAGCTGCAGCAATTGAAGAGAGTCGTGCGGACGGATGTTTATCAGGGCATCTGTAATGTGGACCCCCTGGCTCTAAGAGCTTCTCAGATATCGACTCCAGCATCAGTCCCTGACTAACAGAGACACGGCGTAGAAGGATCACGTCTTCTCTCGACATAACTCCAACATTCATGTGCGGCAGTAAACCCGTCTCTTGAAGCACAATCCTGGCAACCTCAGCAGCATATGATACTGTAGACGTGTGACCAAGAGCTTCGAGCTGTTACATAGATGTAGCCAAGGAGAAGACTTCGTTTCAGTTACAGCGAGGCAATAACCTAATGGCAATATTAAAGAGGATATAATTACTTCATACATCGGTCTCCGAGCTAGAGTTCTGATCGAGGAAGCATTCACAACGATGCATTATCTTATATTGCATGAAATCTTTGATGACATGTAATGAAGAGAAACTTCCTGCCCTTTGGTTATCAGTTGTGCAAAAATGGGAAAGCATGATTACTTCATGCTTTGCTTGGCTGTAGAGGAGCTCGGGCTTGTCTCCCAAAGTGAACAGAGCCTCCGTGCAACCTGCTGCCACACCTGCACGAGCCACCTCCAGCACCTGATGGGTGGTGACCATGAGCAATACAAATTATGTTTCCAATGAAGTTGGATTACAACGAGAAACACGCTTTTAATAATAACCTCACAAATTGTGAACATTGTAGAAGACAAGGATAAGTGAAGTTGGACATCGACAGCTAAATTCTAAAAGTCGTAAGGGGCTAAACTTACAACTATTTCCACTGAGTTTGCATTTAAAGAAACACGGTCTCAAATTCATGGCGTCTCTGGCTTGCAAGCCAGAAATATGGAAAATTTGCCTCCCCTACTTCGACGTTGCCGTATCTAAGTGCTCTACGATAACCCCCCTAATGGAACTTCTTTAATTACTATTTGAGGCAGATGCCGAGGAATTGAAGTCATCTCACCTCATCGACGCTCATATAGACTGCCTGCCCGGGTCGAGGAGACGCAGCAAAAGTGCAGTACCCACAGAAATCTCGACATACTCGTGTGAGGGGAATGAAAACCTTGGGAGAGAAAGTGACGATGTTACCGTCCTCCCTCCTATCACGAATTCGAGCAGCAGCTGCAGCGAGACAACTCACTTCCAAATCCACAACCTCTCGTAGCGATGCCTCGTCGGGATGCTCCCCGAGCTTGCCACTTTGTATGAACTCAAGCGTTTCCAAGCCACGTCCGGATGCCGTAACATTTACCAAAATGTTAGCAGCCTTTCTCTTCGATATCAAACTCGAAGAGCTGCGAAGACTATTGTGAAGCAATGTGGACGTAGAGGAGATTCTTCGCGAGAAATTAAGGAATGAATTCCAGCCTCGTTTACAATGCTGCTGCCGGGGCGGTATCGCACTTGCATGCCGACGAGAGAAACTGCGACGGAATGCGGCATCCATTTGAAATTCCATGCGGTAATCTACTGAAAACGTGAGAAGGTGAATATGAGCTCCAGCTAAAACAGCATAGTGAGATTGAAAGCGTGGCTGTGCGCAGGAGCACGGGCCGTGACAACGCCGTCGAGAGGCTGTTCAGACGAGACGGGTGCCGCATTCGTGAGGGACTTTCTCCCTGCCCATCACTTGAAATGGACAAAAGCTGACAACCAATATAGCTTCAAAAAACAGACGCGAAGAAATAAGTCTCTCACCGGAAAAATTGGCTCGGCTTTAGGTTGTAGGCCTTCCTTTCAAGTCGACTCTGGTCACTTTTTTAATGAGGACAAAGCTGGGCTCTCTGTTTTGGCACCTGATTAGTGACTGATTAGTGATTAGTGACCATCCAACACTGGGATACAAGTCTTGGGGAATGACGTGGACCAATGACCCCATACACGAATTCCACCTCAGATTTTTACTCCTCCCTTTGCCAGCTCAGCATGTTTTAATGATAAATATTTCGAATAAATATGAATATACATATATATATATATATATACATATATTTTTTATGCTTTAGATATAATGGATTGAAATCAAATTCATGGTAGAAAATAACCTACAAAATCAACAATACAATAAACTATGAACAACAATGTAAATTTTATTTAGTTTATCACTTGTCCTCTTCTTTTTTTTAAGAATCATTTTATACTGTGTTTTTGGAGGATCTGAGATAGTTTTCGACATGAAACATTTAATCTCGCTGAATTTCAATTTTATTCTTCTTTCTATTCAGTTTCAATTAGAAACTGGAATAAAATACCAATAAATAAAAAAAATAAAAGTGCCATTGAAAAAAATTGTCTTCTCAACAAAAAAAAGAAATTATGTAGAGGATCTCTTTGAGATTCATGTATGTACCATGTTCCAGATCTTCCTTCCTTTCTTTCTTTTTTTCTTTTTTTTCTTTTTTTCCTTTTTTTAATGTATTTTTCTACTTACCAAGCATGACATACCCATAAAATCGAAATTCAAGGCAGTAAATGCCGACGTGAGTTCTTCAATTGTTACATCCACTTCATTACATTGTGTTCAAATTGGGCATATTATTTACTAGATTAGTGTTGTCTTGTGTTTGTTTTTTGATTTTGATTTCGTTTGTTTGTTTTTTGTTTTTGTTTTTGTTTTTTTTTTTCGAGTTTGTTTTATATATACTCACACACATATACATACACACATCGTGTGTTATATTTGCGATTTGATTATTTGTTTCTTTATTTCTTGAGCGTGTTTTTTCATGTGAAGGAAACATAGTATATATATATATATATATATATATATATATCATACATGAAAACAAAATTTTGATCATTTAGATTTTAAATTGGCGTTAAATACTGTTAATAATGTACCAGATGAAATGTTTTTATCTAATATAGCAATTTATTGACAACAGGTACTTTAAAATTTTCAGATTTGAAAGACGTAGATGGTTTTGAAAATTCCGGTTCAATTTATTTACATATTGTTAATATTATTTTACTTGAATGTTCACAACATGATTTAATTCATGTATCATTATTTTTCTAATATATGTATATATACCAGCTTTTTATTAAGCTTCCAAAGTTTGGTGCATTGATTATTGTTTAGCTCTAATGAATTTGAAGTAATCATTGCATTGTTTAAAACTTTGGTGGTTTATTTTTTACAGAATCATCTACACTATGATTATCTGTTCAAAATCAAAATTATAAACAACAAATGTAGAGATAAACACATCTTGTTTATTTGATTACACATTGTGCAAATGAAGTTATAAATATTTTTCTTTTTCATGTGTAATACTGTTTTGAATGTTATTAAAATATATTTCTATTTTATTTTAACACTGGAATAACATAACATAAAATGATAAATTTACAAGTAAATAAACCATATTTCTGAAATCATCATACATATTACATTTTTAAACAAAAAAAAAAAAGTCAACCACTTAATGTGGTTAAGTGTAAAACATTTCAGAAAGAGTAATAAAATGAGAATTTATAATTATCAAATGACTGTACCATCTTCATTATAATTTCTATTATAAAGACCTCATGAACAATTTTATTATCTTTACACTGATACATTGTTTGAATAGAATTTGAAAAGTTACAACACACAATATTGATTGCATTTTTTTCTGTAAATGATTCTTCAAATTTTAATTTTATGTGAACCCAATCAAAAAAATCTTACAAAATGGTTTAGATGTATGAATGTCAATTGACTTCAGCACAGAAGAACATTTCTACTCTGCTTCAACTTTCACCTCTGCTTGTGGAGCCTCAGATGATGCTGGAATTTCCTCCTGTGTTAAAGACATAAAAACAGCAAATAAAAATAGACAAATTTATATATATAAAAAAATCACAATATAAAGTATACATGTGCGCATGCACACACAGTCTCTCACACACACTCATAGTGACATATATATATATATATATATATATTCATTATCATTGAAAATTGAACGATTAAATTGATATTGAATATTTTACTTGTAAATCAGATGTCCACAGTGTGAGGTTATCTCGTAAGAGTTGCATAATGAGAGTACTGTCTTTGTAAGATTCTTCACCCAAAGTATCAAGCTCCGCAATGGCTTCATCAAACGCCTACATATTCACCCAAAATCCATGTGTGTATAGGTGTGTGTATAAATTATGAGAGAAAATAAATGTATATGTATATATATATATATATAGAGAGAGAGAGAGAGAGAGAGAGAGATGTGTGTGTATAAATTACGAGAGTATCTATTGATTATTGCACTATCAGTTTTGTTCATTTATTTACTTATTGATTTTACCTGCTTAGCAAGACTGCAAGCTCTGTCTGGAGAATTTAAAATTTCATAATAAAACACAGAGAAATTGAGAGCCAATCCCAATCGTATAGGGTGCGTGGGTGCCAAGTTGGTGAGAGCAATATCCTGGAATTTCACAGACAAAGTATTATAATAATCTAATAGAATACTGGTTTGAAAACCATGCAAAAATGCTACAAAACTTTGTAACACAAAATGTGTTTCATTGGAACCAGTGGTTGAGAAATTCGAGACATGTGATTCTTTGTTTTCACTTTTTCTTTTACAGTTAATCGTTTCCATTTCAATTTTGCTCATGAGTGTAAGTTGAAATATCAAAGATACAAAGCTTTTCAATTTAATTTAGGTTACTCACTTGTGCAGATTTGTAAGCGAGTAATGTGGCTTCGGCAGCGTCTTTTCTTTCAGCACCTGTCTTGAACTCGGCAAGGTAGCGATGATAGTCCCCTTTCATTTTAAGATAAAAAACTTTTGACTCCCCTGATACAGATGGTGGAATGAGGTGATTGTCCAAAAGGTTCAAAATACCTCCACAGATAGTGTTTAATTCTGACTCCACTTTAGCACGATATGCTTTGATCACTTCTGCAAACTCTGCATTGTCTTTTCCTTCTTCTTTTTGTTCAATGGATGAAATAATCCTCCACGAGGCTCTTCTTGCACCGATGACATTTTTGTAAGCCACCGACAACAAATTGCGTTCTTCTATTGTAAGTTCTGCAATGTCGGCAGTCATAGCTACTTTCTCCATTGCTTCCACCATCTCGTCATAGCGCTCAGCTTGTTCTGCAAGCTTTGCCATGTAAACATTGCTTTCACGCGAGTCTGTTGCCATACCTTCTACAAAACCAGTATCTCAAATTCTTTTGCAATGCTTTTAAAAAATAAAATCTATAATATATGATAACTTAAGAAATTTGACGCACAAAGCAAATGGAAAATGATGGTGCAAAATTTGAGTAATGTGTTAATAGAGTAGGGGAAAAGTTGTCGACAAAATATAAGCCAAGCATGTTGCATTCTTAAAAATCACAGGTTCCAGGTTAACTAACACATTACAAGGTTGTAAGCGTAAAATTACGTACAAAACAGCACATACATGTATTTGGTTATTCTCCTTATATACACTTCCTCTAAACCTATTCGGTTGATATGTAAAAAATACAGAAAATTTTTAAAATTAAAAATGCGCAGGTGTAATTTGAAGTATACGACATGCACTGCATGTTATTCACACAAATACCTAATATTAATATTGAAGTGAAAAAGATACCTCAACTCTTAAAACTGCCTTTTGAGAGAGCATGCACTTATTTTATGTTATGAAAACTAATAAAATTAGGGTATAAGTATACTGGTACTTAAGTTTTTTTCAAATTTTGATATAAAGCAGTGGCAATGGGCTGCCCGAGTTAAGCTTTGCAATTTCCGGGCAGCTGGATGGATGAATGAAAGAGCCACAGAAGGAACGGAATCCAGTCACACCATGGATTGCTCGTCATTCATGCATATGGATAAAAGAAGCTTGGGTGATGAATGAAATTCACGTGAAATGGAGAGTAGTAGAGATCGAGGTCTTCATAGTGGATTCGGGACCTGCAATCCCAAATCGGTCTTTTAGGGTTTAGCGGACAACTAAGTGGACTCCTTCACCATCGGCCTCGCAGCTCTTTGAAGGGGGGCTTTGGTTCTTAGCAGGTTTGGGTTTCACCTTTCACGCAGTCTTTATCCTACCGGTGGACACATTACGCTTGCGGCAACATGGCGTCTAAATTTTGGGGTAACGTAAGTATCTCCAGCTTCTCAACATCTGGTTGTCCCTATTGTTTCTGATAATCGATATCTTGCGAATTTTTTGCGGATTTTTTTGTGTTTTTGGGTTCGATAGCGGAAAATTCTTCTACGTTGTTCCGGAGGGCCACAGACCTGGAGTGATTTCTTTGTGCATTATGAGAAAGCGAGGGTGTGATGTTTGTTATGACATTTAGTGAAGTAAATTATATCTATGGTGGTAAGAAGTATGCCTGAGCTTCTACCGTGCTGGGAGTGCTGAGAATATGAGGCACAAGGGTTAGAGGTCGTTGGAGGTCTATTTAGATTTTGTGGCTCCTCTAGTTCGGGAACGGATTGAACCGGTTTTTGAAGCTGCACTTTAGGTTTATCAGGGGCTAACGATGTGATCCCTGCACTGACTGCAGAGTGACAGTGAGAGTGATGAAGATAGTCAGCTCTCTGATCACGACGAGGACGAAGTTATTATTGGTGGAGAAGAGGCTGAGAAAATTGCCGACAAATACCGAATTGGCGGTGATTCTGACAGTGATGAGTCCGATGATCAGAGGCGAGTGGTTCGATCCGCCAAGGATAAGCGGTTTGATGAGTTGGCGCAGACTACAGTGCAGATACAAAATCAAATCAATATTAATGATTGGGTTCAGCTGCAAGAGAGTTTTGAGCGGTTGAACAAGCAATTGGAGAAGGTCAACCGTCTTACGGAGTCTCAAGTTGCGCCCCGCGTGTATATCAAGGGCCTTGTACTGCTCGAGGATTATTTGAACCAGACTTTGCTGAACAAGGAAGCTAAGAAGAAGATGAGTCCTAGTAACGCCAAAGCATTGAACTTTATGAAACAGAAGCTGAAGAAAAACAACCAGTTGTACCAAGCTGATATCGAGAAATTCAGGGCTAATCCGGTGTCAGATGTGGAGTCTGACTCAGACGATGGAGAAAACGCAGATGATGTATTTAGTGATGACGATGACGACGATCTTCCAGAGGATCGTCCAGAGGATCTCTCAGATGACGCGGACAACCCTGATGACGGAGGGGACTGGACGTCTGCTCAGAAGAAGCCGAAGGAGATGTTCCCGAAGTTAGACCCTGGCCAGATTTCGTGGGAGATGGTGGACAAGAAGTTGAAAGAGATAATTGTGGCCCGTGGGCGCAAGGGTACAGACCGTGCCGAGCAAGTGGAGCAACTGTCATACCTTGCCAGGTGCGCAAAGACCCCCGCGCAAAAGCTGGAGGTGATGGTGCATGTGGTGTCGGCCCAGTTCGACGTGAATCCAAGCCTGAGCACACACATGCCGATTGCGGTGTGGAAGAAGTGCGTTCAGAACATACTGGTGATCTTGGACATTTTGGCCCAGTACCCGAACATCGTAATGGACGAAACTTCGGAGCCAGAGGTGGAGAACGAGACGGAGAAGGGAGCAGATCATGAGGGACCTATTCATGTGTGGGGTAATGTAGTGGCATTTTTGGAGCGGTGCGACGACGAGCTGTTCAAGAGTTTGCAGTGTATTGATCCTCACACGAAGGATTACGTTGAAAGGCTGCGGGACGAGCCTTTGTTCATGACATTGGCCCAGAATGTGCAGCAGTATGTGGAGAGGCTAGGCGACATGAGGGCAGCCGCTAGGGTGGCTCTGAGGCGGGTAGAGCATGTGTACTACAAGCCGCAGGAAGTTTATGAGGCGATGAGGAAGTTGTCGGAGTTGCAGAGCCGCTCGGGTGCAGCTGCGGAGGCTGGAGTCGAAGGTGAGGAGGAGGACGGAGATGTCGCGATGAAAGGGGTCACTGAGACCAAGGGGCCTGCATCGTTCGTGGTGACCCCGGAGATTGTTCCGCGTAGAGCCTCTTTTCCTAGTGTGAACAGGAAGCTGATGGACCAGTTGGTGACTTTGATCTATAAGTACGGAGATGAGCGGACAAAAGCTCGGGCGATGCTTTGTGATATCTACCAGCACGCTATTTCGGATGAGTACTACACAGCTAGGGATTTGTTGTTGATGAGCCATTTGCAGGATTCGGTGATGAACATGGATATTTCAACTCAGCTTTTGTTCAACAGGGCTATGGCGCAGTTGGGCCTATGCGCATTCCGGGAGTCGTTGGTAATGGAGGCGCACAACTGTCTATCTGAACTGTATGCCGGTGGCCGTGTCAAGGAGTTGTTGGCGCAGGGGGTTCAGCAAAGCCGTTGGCACGAGAAGAATCCCGAACAGGAGAAGCTGGAGAGGAGGAGGCAGATGCCCTTCCACATGCACATAAATTTGGAGCTCTTGGAGGCGGTGCATCTGGTCACAGCGATGCTATTGGAGGTGCCGAACATGGCATCAAGCATGCACGACATGAAAAGGAAGGTTATTAGTAAGCCATTCCGAAGGCTGTTGGACATTAACGAGAAGCAGACGTTCACGGGTCCTCCGGAAAACGTCCGGGACCACGTGATGGCAGCTACGCAGGCATTGAGCAAAGGTGACTGGGAGAAGGCAGTGGAAGTTATCCAGAGCATGGACGTGTGGAAACTCCTGGGGAAACGGGAGGCAATTCTGCAGATGCTTCGGGGCAAGATGCAGGAGGAGGCTCTTCGGACGTATATTTTCACGTACTCGCCGTACTTCGATTCCTTAAGCCTCGACCAGCTGATGACGATGTTCGGCTTGCCAGAAGCCCAGGTGCACAGCATAGTGAGCAAGATGATGATCGCAGAGGAGCTGCATGCCAGCTGGGACCAGCCAACGCGTTGCATCGTGACGCACAACGTAGAGCCTACTCGGCTGCAAGCATTGGCGTCTCAATTCGCCGAGAAGTTGAACGTGTTGGTGGAGAGCAACGAGAAGGCATTTGATGCGCGTACAGGTGGTGGAGGCTTGGAGGGTATGGGACGACGCAATAGAGATACTCAGGACTACGCTGATGCTGCAGGGGGCAGACGCGGCGGAGATTTTGGAGGAGGGCGCGGGGGTAATAAGGGTGGACGAGGTGGTCGTGGTGGCAGAGACAACTTCGGAGGGGGTCGTGGTGGTAGAGACAACAATCAGGGAGGATACAACAATTACAATCGCGGTGGACAGGGAGGAGGAGGTCGTGGCTACAGCAGTGGCTATCAGAGCACCCGGTACCAGGACGCATACAGCAGCGTCGGCAGGACTCCCTACCAAACAGGACCAACTGCTGCGGGCATCAACAGAGGCCAACAGGCAGCAGACGCAGGTGGTCGCATGGTAAGCTTGTCAAGGATGGGCAGCCGCTTCTAGATGCTGCGATCAATTTCTGCTACGAAAGCAGCGAACGAGGTTGCTGTTTTCATGTTACGTTTTTGTCTTCTCCAGGTTAAATTGGACATCAATTTTGTAGTATTTTATACTCCCGTTCTCCACAGAGAACGATTCCAGTGTCTGATGCAGTATTTCAATCTGCCAGTGGCATCGTTTGTGTAGGATGAGTTTTCCTTGTCAGCCAATATAATTTAGGTATTAATGCTTAGTTTCTTCGCCTTAAGCTTGTCAATGTGGACATTCAGTGGATTTTGATTTCCTGAAAGATTATTTAGGTTTGCATCGAAAACCTTGTTTTCATTCCGAATACAAGAACTGGTGTTGGTTTGTCGGGTAGAGTTCTTTGGATGATATTTCGGGCACTGCTTGGGAGAATGCTAATGTTGATACGATGAATTTTCTTCGTGTGTTGTTTTTGTAGTTAGATTTGAATGACGTTAAATAGCCACTTAGGTTGAGTGGTTTTCTTCATTTGTCAGTTTCACCGATCACATTTGCCTTCATATTTCGGTGTTCTGTCCGTGTAGTATTTTTCAAGAGTAACCGATAAATGGTTAGCCGGCTAGATCTCCTCTTTACTTCACATTAGCACACTGTTTGCTGTACTCACATGTGGTAGGGTCATTCCGAGAATGAAGAGGATTAATATCACTCAAAATATCTTGCTTTGTGATATGTTGAATGTTTTGTTTCTTTGGACCATTTCAAACAGCCATTGTCAGGTTGTCAAGTTGTGAAATAAACAGCCATGTGTCTGGTGTCAAGTATTTGAAATTCAATTTAGCAGACGATTATTCTGAAGTGGTGTGATAATACTTTGTATCCGTGAATGCTCATACAATTTACATCTGTTGAGTACTTTTTAGCTTGAAAATTTAAAGTGAATATCAGATTGTATCTAGTGTTAGTTGGATTTTCTTATATATACATATATATATATATATATATATATATATATATAAAGACAAATACGCATGTGAATAATTTATAACATTGGTTTTTCTTCCTTCCATAATTTTACGATTCAATTATAAAATTATTTTAAACAGTATTTAATCAAATTTTTTATTTATATACAAAGTTAAGATAATTTCTAATGGGGCACTTGTTCTATAATATATATTGTTCAAAATAAATTCATGGCTTATACAAATGCTGAACTAATTAAACCACTTTCTTAGCAAGAATTAAAAAATGTATTAAAAGAATATATAACTTATAAAAAAAATATCATACCTAGATGAGGTATGAGTAGAATCTTTTAAAACATTTTAGGATGTGAGTGGTGAAAATTAATTGAGAATTACTAATTATGTTTTAAATAGTAATTTCTTCTTTTAAAATATACAAAGAAAAAATACAGTTCTTCTACATAAAGATAGAGATAGAGCCATTCTTGGCAATTGGAGGTCTATTAATTTTTTGAACATGTTACATATAACATATGCCAAGATCTTGCAAACATGGATTCAAGTTGTGCTTTTGGAAACAGTTTATAAAGAACAAACTGACTTATTATCAAGTTAGATATTATTAATATTTCAATAATCAAGAAATCTTGCATAATGCAAAATGCTTAAACAATCTATATTACTTTTAAAATTGAACTTATTTTTTAAAGCTACTGATAAAATTTCATAATAATTCTTATTTAATACCATAGATAAGTTGGACTTAAGTCAATACTTTGTATACAAGATGTAATTAATATTTAAAAGAGTTGAAGCTACAATTAAATACAATAGTTTTCTTATCTAAAAAACATTTATTGATAAAAAGACAAGATGAGATTATTATCTATCTTTGCATTTATTTATCATAATTAATAAAACTTTATATGTTGCTATTATGGATGTCAAAAAGAAATAACAAGATTTATTGTGTTTCTACTTTAAAAAGATTAAAAGAACAAATAATTAGTTAATATGTAAGTCAATTAACTTTAATTATATAGAAAATAGAAAGAAATATTATAATACTAGTAGAAATTCTTCATAAAATTTGCAAATCATTGAGTTTCAAACTTAACATATCTAAAATAATTGTGTGTTGACAAATTCAATAAGAGTTAAATGTTGCAATAGACAAATAAGTATGGTTGGACTTGGGCTTTTAATGACAAACTAAGAAAATTTCTAAAAATTTGTTTTTGTTTAAATCTTTATATATAAAATGTGGTTTAATTTTTAATTTTAAAATTTTTAAAAAACTAAATATTTGGTAATAAAGATAAATATAGCAAAAATAATCTAATATAGTTTAGAATATATTCTCATTTTTTTAATACTTCTTTATAAAGAATGTGTAATAAATAGTAGGCAAATTTTAAATAGATCTTTTAATGGAATATGAATAGAGATATAGATCCAAAAATCAGAAAAAATTAAAAAAATTTAGACTAATATAATGTAATTTATTTATTCAAAATAATCTAAAATGTTTCATAAAATTTAAAATAAATTTGTATAGAAGGATCTATATTTTATTCTCATTAGCACACTTACTACTTTAAAATCAACAACAATGCATTATATAAATGGTTTGTACAAATCCTAAGATATTTTTAATAATAATAGTCTTTGTATAAAGAAAAGTGATGATGTTTAAGAAAAATTCAATATCATGCTATAAGATCATTGAATAATGAAGCAATTCATAGATGATAATCTACCATGTCATTGAATTAATTGCAATCTTTCCTAGAATGAGAAACATCATCACACCAAATACATCTTTGTACATACACTTGTTTAGAAACATTCTTTAAATTCTTTGTAGAAGTCTTCTGTATAAGCCTTGTAAGTTTGTTTTGAAGATTTTGCATCCAACATATAATTTCTTCAATTTCTATATATATATATATATATATATATATATTTATGTAGACATTAGAAGTTGGACAATAAGCATTGTTGGTCATGTAGCATGCACTTGAATTTTAGATGCTTATACTATCCTTAGAATACTAATGCTATCATTCTTTCTTTTTCATTTTGCAAGCAATCTTACAATGTCTTCAATATTTTTCTACTTTGTTGTTAATCCTTCATCTTCATCTTTGTCTTAAAGAAGCAACTCCAATTTTATTTATAATTCTCCATCAACAACTTGAAGAAATAATTCAACCTTCTTTGGCTCAAATGTTAACTTTTCTACCTTTGATAATTAAGAATATTGTCTTTCAAACTTCCTTAATAGTTGTGTTGCTTGTAAATTCTTATTAGGCTGTTCAATCTATTGTAGAAATAATTTCTTAGTAATACAATCAATGTCCTTCAAGAAATATTTATCTTTTAATGTATGAAAAATATCTCCTATAAATTCCTATAATGATCTATAATTGATCAAATATGTTTCTTTATCTTTAGTACTTTGTGTTACGGATCCACTATATGGGAGACAAAATAAGAAGAACTAATGAATTTCAATAAGAAAGATAACAAAAACTTGATTAAATAAGATAAAATTAAGATCAACATCTAGAAAGGTAAATTATAATTCTAAAAGATATATTGTTGGACTGAGGATTCCCTATGCCTTGACTCCAATATATACTAGGTATTAGGAAGCTTCTTAAGAAGTTTCTATGTTACTTAAAGATAAAGCAACCTTAAGAAGCTTCTCAAATAACTTTCTTAATTCTTTTAGAACTTTCTAGAACTTGCTAAAATATTTTAAGAATCTTCTAGAACCTTCTAAGAATCTTCTAGAATCTTCTAAGAATCTTCTAGAATCTTCTAAGAATCTTCTAAGAATCTTCTTGGAATATTTTAGAATCTTCTAAAATATAATAAAATATTTTAGAAATATTTCTAGAATCTTCTTATTGCATATTTGTAACATCACCTCCCCTTCTAACATTAAATTCCACAAAGAGCATTAATTTCATATCTATTTTTTTATTTTTGGTTTTATTTTTAATTTATTTATATATATACACTCATAATTATATATATATATTTATATATATATATATATATATATATATATATAATATCTTAAAATAAGTTTAAGTTTTTGAAGATAGCATCAATGAAACTCTCATACACTTTGCAGCACATTTATTAGATTTTTTGCTGCCTTCTTTATTTGCTCATTGATATCATAGCCATGCCAATGAATAAAATACTTTAACTTGCCTCTTCTTTGTCAATAATCAAGGATCTTTTTCATCTCAAATTCTACATGATTATCTATTTCAATGCAAGGTGGTGATAGTTGTATTCTTCATAGAATAGTTGATTCTAATTAAGCCTCTAAAAGAAAAAAAAATGAAAGATTGGATGTACCTCCATAGATGTGGATAGATCCAACCAATAAGCTACAAGATTGATTTGCTTTTGAATACAAAATGGCACCAGTCTTTGGTAGTCCAACTTATTGCAAGGCTAATTGGTCTTGATATTTTGTCAAAAAAGCCATACTTTATCCTAAACTTGAAAAGCAGGGAATTCTTTTCTATATTTGTGTGAAGAAGCTTTGTATTGTAGAAATTCATGATAAAGAGCTTTTTGCTATTTTAGATTTTTTTCAAGAATGACATTACTTATTGGAAAGTGTTACATATCTTATGATTATATATGTAGATCACAAAAATTAAAAGTGTTATGTTAGCTTAGATTTTGAATCGTAGCCAAACTTATTGGAATATATCATTATCTGGTTTTTATTTTATGATTACATATTGACTAAGAAAGAAACAAGGACTATCAAAGACTTTATTTACAAGATCATATCTTACTCTAAAGGCTAAAGAAACAACATTTAATTAGCAATATATCACTCTTTTGAAGCTAAAATAATTTTATCTTTATGCTATTTCTATGGTTACACTTGTTGATTTAAGTTTTCTTGAATGAATTTTTACATTGTCAATTTAGGACTTATTAGTTTGTAATATCAAATATTACCTTGACAACAACAAATTCATGATCTTGGAAGATCATTTGTATTTTGAAGATTATTTATATATTCTAGAAGAATTGATGCAACTTTTTTCTTTTTATTCTTCTCATGATTTTCTAGGTACATGACATTTTGGATTCAACAAAACATTTGAGCTTATTTCTTGAGATTTCTGGTAGCTTCAAATGTGAAAGACCATGAAAGACTTTGTTGTCTCATATGACATTTGTTCAAGTTCGAAGAATTCTATACATTACCTTTATGGACTTCTATAGCCACTACCAATTTCAAAGTGACGATTGTGATTAGTATCAATAGATTTCATTATTTATTCATTGTCATTAGTTGCATTTGATGTTGTATACATTCTTATAGATTGACATTCTAATATATTTTATATTTTTTTT